GCGAGACTGCAATTTGCAGATTGCCCAAGTTTTTCTTTAGTTCCAAATCTTATTTATTTATTTTACATTCAAGTTTTTAAATAAACTTTAAGTTATTTCTAGATGAATTTTTTATTTTTTATTTTGTTTTCTATTGGCAAGAATCTTAGGAATTCTAGGTTATGAGTTTTAAACCACGAGTTTATGAGTAAGTTTAAACTTTAAAGCACAAGGTGTTGTTGATTCCAAAGGCGATGCAAAATTGAGATTAATGACAATTATGAAATATTCAAGATTGCATCACAAAAACAATATTAAAGTAAAGTAGAAAAAGAGAAACTAAGTAGAGGAACGATGAATTTTATTAAACCCGACAATATGGAGAGAATAAAGCAGGACAGCAATAATGCTTCATTAAAACTGATAAAAGAGTCTCTAATTTATAAGTCACGTCCATAAAACTAATGAAGTCCCAAAAGGTAAGAAAATATATTAGAATTAAGTTAAACAGCGTAAAAGGAAAAAATCTTGGATGTAATTTGATTTCTTTCCAAATTCAAGCCAAACATGATCTTCTAAGATTTCAACCCAATTTTGAGGCATTAAATCTAACAGGTGCTAATTTAGCAAATAGCCAAGCGAGTGGCAATTTAAATTCAAGATCCCAAAATTTTACTTTACAACGCACCATTGCCATGCGTGCGGTTAAGATATATTTCCGTTAGCTAGAACAAAATTGTTCGATTACATAATTCTATAAGGGATATTTCAAATCGGTAGTTACATTTTCGACAAGTATGTATTTCAAGTCATTTTTTCAAATAATGTGAGCTATGTTCAAGATTCAAATCAATCAAATTTTCTAACTAAGTGGAAGAACCGATGAGAGTGTGAAATGTCTATATCTCGTGTCAAAATTCAAATGAATCTTGTTGGATATTTCTATGCAATCCCGTGATAATGTTTCTTTCGACTTCTTCTCCCCATCCTAATCTTTTATAGTATGGTGCTTGCCAATTCAATTTCTACAATTCTATTTAAGGAAAAAGTTTAAATAAACTCTTCAATGCATATTTATGGCATTCATTTGACCCTTTCCAATTTCTAGCCATATTCATATAACCTGGTTAGATTGAGTTGATTGATCATTATGCAGTTTGTGTTTTCTTTCTACAGATTATTTTCGCATTATTATTTAATTCATGCAGTTTGTAGTTCCATAGTGTGTAGCTTCCAGATTCATCGTTTACAGTTTTAGCCCGCAGTTAACTTATATTTCTGATTTTGTATTGCCAAACATTTTTTTCAGTCATTGGAAAATTCTGAAACGAATTTTTTTTTGATAAATTGAAATCGTTTGCCTTGTGGTTATTAATTTCAATAGTCGGCTATTGCAATTGAATAAAACTTATACAATTGGTTTCATCCACTAGCGACTTGTCTTCCTACATATGTCTGATCAATTCTTTGGAAAGTTAGATAGTAGTTATGCAGTTCGACTTATATAAATCTTATAACTAATATTATTACCAAGACCAAAACAAATATGAATATAATATTAACATGTGATAATTGATAATTATTTTATTTTACATTGACATGTTCGACTGTGATAAGAAGGATTCATAATATTGGTAATGTTGTATAAGTATCCGTATTATGGTTCACTCGTGTCCCTTTTTACATGACAAACATTCAAAATGAAACTTTAAATCTTCAAAAGATAATACATTAAGCCATAGTTCCTGGAGAATACTAAATTGAACAGCGAGACTGCAATTTGCAGATTGCCCAAGTTTTTCTCTAGTTCCAAATCTTATTTATTTATTTTACATTCAAGTTTTTAAATAAACTTTAGGTTATTTCTAGATGAATTTTTTATTTTTTGTTTGTTTTCTATTGGCAAGAATCTTAGGAATTCTAGGTTACGAGTTTTAAACCACGAGTTTATAAGTAAGTTTAAACTTTAAAGCACGACGTGCTAATTTAGCAAATAGCCAAGTGAGTGGCAATTTTAATTCAAGATCCCAAAATTTTATTTTACAACGCACCATTGCCATGTGTGCGGTTAAGATATATTTCCATTAGCTAGAACGAAGTTGTTCGATTACATAATTCTATAAGGGATATTTCAAATGGGTAGTTACATTTTCAACAAGTATGTACTTTCAAGTCATTTTTTCAAATAATATGAACTATGTTCAAGATTCAAATCGGTCAAATTTTCTAACTAAAATGGGACCATGGAAGGACCGATGAGAGTGTGAAATGTCGAAATTCAAATGAATCTTGTTGGATATTTCTATGCAATCCTGTGATAATGTTTCTTTCGACTTCTTCTCCCCATTCTAATCTTTTATAGTATGGTGCTTGCCAATTCAATTCCTACAATTCTATGTAAGGAAAAAGTTGAAATAAACTCTTCAATACATATTTATGGCATTCATTTGACCCTCTCTAATTTCTAGCCATATTCATATAACCTGGTTCGATCGAGTTGATTGATCATTATGGACCACTATCCAACCATACGTATTGTATAAAAGAAGACCCACATCTTCTTTGAAGCCCATGAAATAGCTTGTACGAATTTAGGTGTGAATTTATTAGATTTGCAAATTCTATAAAGGAAAATTTACAAAGTGCACTTTATGTGTAATGTATATTTATACTTTAGCAACCGTATTTTGTAAATTCATATTTTACAAAATATGATTAGAGTATGGTATAAGAAATATAATTATATTTGCACAATATATTATTATTATATTTTATAAATGCATTATATTTTAAATGTAGTAAGAGCGTGTCCAAGAGATCCTTTAAACATAAGATATTCTCTATTTTAAAGATTCAATCATTAAAATTATGCTCCAAGAGATTTTTTTAATTTAACATTTTAATTTAGAAAGTGGTTCACTCTCTATTAAATGCATTCATAGTATTTTAATTTTCAGTGGAGGAAAATAATATAATAAATTGGTAAAAGATAGGGAAAACAATAAATAGTATTTTGGAGTAATAAAATTAAGTATAAAGAGCCTGTTGAAATACTTAAAAGATTTTTACTCTTTAAATTTATAAATATTCTCGAAATTATAAAATATGCTATTTAAAAATAGAAATTTTCTTGGAGATGCTCTTAATATTCATGATCTTTACTTATTGTTATACTTATATCCTTAACATTTTTATCGCATTCTTATCTGCAACATTGCATTAATTAGCATATATTGTTATTGATTACATTTTCGTCCAAAAATCTATTAGCATACTTTAAATAAAAGGCAAATATTTAATTGTATTTTTGGATTTGGTATTCTTTTATTACTTAAAAATATGATGGGCAAATAAGTCTTTTAATGTGTCTTAATATAATTACTAGGAATTGAAATTAAGGATAATATGTGCTAATTAATGAAAGATTGAAGACAAAGCTACCACAACAAAAAAAGTCAAGAACATAAATATGCCATAAGTTTTGTTGGGGAGCTTCAATGCGATTGAAATCCGATGCACATATAAGGAAGGGTAGGTCAATATAGACATGCTAACAAGAAACAACTTTTGCTAAAAATTTGGCAAATATGCAATTATAAATAATTAATTAGACCAAAATACCAAAATAAGTTGCAAGATGATCTCAACATTTTTTATCGATATATTTTAAATTTAATCTTTTTCCCTTCCCGAGATACTCGAATCCAAGTCAATTTCATCTTTATACTTGCAAATTTGTATTTTTTTCCCCCTTTTTTTAGCAAATGCATTTTCGTTACCATTATATCAAAATTAATATATAGTACCTAAATTTACAAAATGACATCATATATGGGGTAATACCAATTAATATGTACAAAAAGGGGAAAAAAAATGGAAAGAAAGAAAAAAAGAAAGGAATAACCACCGGCCCATATTGCTTGTCCAGTCTCCAATCTCCATGAACTGAAAGCCGAAAGAGCCGTCCAATTTTTTGTTTTCTTTCTTTTTCGCTGGAGGTTGTTCGTTTTGTCGATGCATTTATTTCACCCATTCTAGCGTCATTTGTTGAATACAGAATCTGGAATTTTATTATCCATTACAGCATCTTCAATAGAGTATTTAAACATGAGATGCTCTCTATTTTAAAGTGCGAACTCTTAAAATCATCATCAAAGAGATTATTTAAATTAATATTTTAATTCAGAGAGTGTGCTTGATTCTCTTAACTCACTATGTATAATTAAATGCATTCAGAGTGTTTCAATTTTTAATAAAATAATATAGAGAAAAACTGGTTAAAATAAAAAAAAATAATAAATATTTTTAGTAGTATATTTAAGTTTTAAATATAAAGAGTTTGTTGGAGTACTTCAAGATTTTAAGTCTCTAAATTTATGAATGCTCTTTAAAAATAGAAGGTTCTTGAAGATGTGCACAAATATTTGATTTACATATAGTATTTTAAACTAAATCGTATAATAAACAAAATCTTTACTTATTTTTAGTACGATTCAATATTAAATTTTGTTTTATTATCATCACTGTAAGTGCAGACATTCGGCCGATCGATTACAGGATATATAGAAATTTGTTTCTTCCTAGGCTTCCAAATGTGAATGGTGAGCAATAGATTGAACAACAGGCTTAAAAATAGGCTGCATACGTTATACATATCGATGTATGATTGGAGAGTTTAAAATTTTTTAAAAAGAACACCCAACAACTTGCTGCCACTTTTGAGCCTGTCTGTTTATGATACAGAAACAAGTTGTACACGTATCGATGCATAATTGAGAGTGAAAAATTTTAAAAAGAACACTTTGTTGCCACATCAATCTGTTTTTTATTTCCTACTTTTTAGCCTGTTTATAGTTTTCCTATAAATGGTTCTTTAAGAGCATTTAATGGTAACAGCATACACAGTAACACAGTATGGAAAGGATAAACCAAGAAATTTCAACGTCGTATATTTGTATTTAATACAATCCCAACTGTATTTGACATTTGTCATTCATCCCCCATTTGATCAACAATGTTAGCCATCAAAAATTACCCGCCAACTACAGATAATGTTAATTCATTGACTTACCGCCCATAATCCTCCATCTCTCTCTGTAGCCTCTCTGTGTATATATACTAATGTCATTTTATTCTCTTCCTGAATAAGAAGAAAAGATTTTTGTCTTGTTCAAATTTGAGGGTTTTATGGTTTGTTTCTGCTTTTTGGTGGATCAGAAGAGGGTAATCAAAGAGAGAAAGCCGGTAGCCGGAACTTGTTCGCGGTGCAATCACGGCGCAACGGTGGCGGATATGAAAACCATGACCAGATTTTGTTATATCCCATTTTATTGGAAATCTTGGAAGGCTATTATGTGCAGTTTTTGTGGGACTATTCTCAAATCTTACAGGTGAACGATGCTGAAGACTCGAGGAGAAAATCTTCCACAGGGAGGTAGTCCAACGCCTAGGTGCCACCTCGGTGGGTGACCCACACACCTCGAGGGTGTTTGGTGGGTCACCTGACGAGGTGGCGCGCGCTGATAGGGCGATCGCACCACGTGGAAGATCTTCTCAGACTCGAGACTAATATACTTTTACGTCGATATAGTGCATGTTTGGTACAGAACACTGTCTTCATATACAATCGAGAATTCTATGTTTCGGATTATCATGAACCACGAGAATATGTATATATTCCTTTAGTGGTTGCAGGGCACCTGCAGATTCATGAAAAGAATGCTAGAAATTTATCACAGAAGTTTGTGAAATTGTAAAAAATAATAATAGTAAGTCCAGGATGACTATATATAATTGATTATGGAAAAAGAAGTCCCTTAAGCATTACATTATTATCATTTTTATTTCTCTTTTTGTCACATTTTGCATTAATTAAAGATTGCTTAGTTCTCTTATTCTTCTTCTTCTTCATAACGATTACAGTTTCTATTTGAGGAAAAGTACGAGAAGTACTAATATTTATCATAAATCTCCATTGTCATGTAGCATCACAACTTAAAGGAGTACGTGCAGTTACAGTAAGTTAAGGCGTAAAATTAAATGTTATTTTGTCTTTTCGAGTAATTTGCTTTAATTTGTGTTTGTTGTTCGTTCTCTTTCTTTTTCTGGAGAGTCACTGTCCTAATGAAGGAATGCTAAATCAGTTATGACTTATCTCTACCTAATAAAATTAGATAGAATACGAAAACATAATAAATTTGTTTCTGTAAAGCATAAAATATATTTAAAAGCCATATTTTGGAGAAAATAATCCAATCAAATTAGAACCAAACCAAATCGAACACTTTGATTTGGTTTTGCATAAAAAAATAAAAAATAAAAAATTATTGGTTCGGTTCTGATTCGATTCTAGTTCTAGAAACAAGAACAATTTTTAAATTTTATTATATATATTCCATTTTTTTTTCCAAATAAGCGAATCACAATTCACAATTTCACACCAAAAAATTCAAAATTCAATTAAAAATCAGGACAAAAATGTCACGTTATCTTTGATTTTTCATTTCTCATTGTGGATACTAGAGATCATAATTCATTTTGGAGACTCCGACCCTAATTCATTTCACATTTTCTCTCCTTTTCAATTTATACATCGACTCTCATATAAATTCCAACAGATGTTGTGTCGTCTATTGTCGAACTTAGCCACAACCGTTCATGGATTTCTAAAATTGAAGCCTCAATCTTCGATTATTTTTCCTCAAATGTTCTCTCTCTCTCTCTCTCTCTCTCTCTCTCTCTCTCTCTTTCTTTCTCTCTCTCTCTGCTCAATCAGCAATGTAACCAGAACCAATGGTTCGGTTCCGGTTTAGTTCCATATTAAAAATAAAAAAATAAAAAAAATCAGTTGGTTCTATTATACAAAAACCCATTGGTTGATTTTGATTTTCTTGAAACCAAATCCAAATGGAACAATATCTACCCTTAACTGTGCACTAATTTCCATCACTAAAGGTCAAGATTTTTCTTAGTGAACGGTAAAATTATTATTTTTGGGTCTTACTGTTACATTTAAATTTACTCGTTACATATTAGTCTATATCTAAAGAATTTATAATTGAGAGGTATCGATGAAATATCATTTATCGTTTCCTTACGTTTCATTGATAAATGATAAGCATGTGGCTGCACATGTGAGGAGGATTAGAAATTGTCACATTCACGAATATATAGACATTGGACCATTGCCATTCGTCAGTTATAATATAAATTCTATTACATTGTATATTAGATCTAGTAGTTCTCTTTTGACCACGAGTAGCGTACTATAGTATGACACTTGAGTTTGCCCCCCGGGGCATAATCCAGTGGTTTAAAGAATAGGAGTGAGGTAGTCTCAATCTTGTTGGTAGCCGCAGTGTGATGGTTCGATTCATGAGATATAGAATTGGATTCTTTGTAGGCACCAGTGTACGGGCAAACTCTTGTTCCCTGGCCTACTGGAACACATCCTGCGATTTACCTTTCTCATGATACTCCAAGAGAAGGACGGGGTGGTGGAAGCTCTCAAGGTTAAGATTCAACCTTTTTTTTTTTTAGTATGACACTTGAGTTTTCTAGTATACGTTGACACATTTACCCTTACACATAAATCAAATCAATTTATACATATTATTCCAGCTAATCTTAATTGTGCCAAAGTTGTACAATTGTTATTTGGGAAAATCCCACAATTGATCAATTTTGTTTCCGACCTTCACCCTTTTATTATAATCACGCTATTAATTATCAATGAAGCAAGCCGTCGAAATCTTCATCAATTTATCACATGATTGCCGCAAAAATGTGTCTAACTTTAAGCTTCTAGATGTTGAACCAAGTTGTGAAACAAAATCTAGTCCATACAATGATTTAACGGAGATATGGCTCCTTTCGATGATGGAGAACCGATTATACAGCTATAATGAAAAATTGACGACCATCTTTCTACTAGAGTAAAAGATTGAGGACAAAAGGTAGTCTTATTCACTTCCGAGTTGTACAAAGTATTGAAATTTTAATATAATATTTAATATAAAATCCTTTATAAGATAAATATCATTTACTTAAACATTTGTTTAAAAATAAATTTGTGAAAAATATTATCAGGCATTATTTATTATTTATATATTTTGTGGAAGAGGAGTTCTTCAAAATAGTCCAAATATGTAGGTGGGGGTAAATTCTTGAAAAATAATTAAATGCCATTAAATGAAGGATTTCTTATATTTAGATATTTTCTGCATCGAATATTCGATTCTTATGCTATTTTTAAGCTTGTGTTTGGTTATCAAACTCTGATGAGCTTTTAATGAATGAATTATCATTTTTGTACGCACTGAGATACGTTGTGAGCCCATCTAATTCACATATCAACATCGCATCAAATAAAATTAAAGAAAATTACAAATAAGAGAGGGGGACCAAGTCAAAACCTCCCAAAAGGAAAAGCAAGTAAAGAGCACTCTTAATTAAAAATCCAATTAGGATTCCTAGAGCCTAACTGAAATCAATTAAAAGTAAATATAACATAAAAAAAAGGGCTTAACGCCTCAAAGTTGAATGAAACACAAAGCGAAATGATAATGCCCTCTAGCTCTATTTCTAATTATCATTGGATGTTTGACTTTCTTGTCGTAATGAGTTTAAATTCTCCATCATTTTCAGTTTGGGAAGTGTTGGCATCCATCACAAAATCTTTCCTCCAAGGAGCGGCAACGAGAGGTGTTGCAAGGCTGGTATCGCACGAATCGATCAAATACATACACCCATGAAGGCTATATCGTCCTCAACAATATTCCCTTTTTTCACTGCAGAGGGAGGTGTTCAAATCCAAGTTTTCGTAGAAAAGGGAGGATGAGCTTAAATGAACTAGTTCGTAGTTCGTACGGTTTCGCATAGGCATGAATGGTTGGACGGTCACATTTAGCCCTTGTTTGATTTCCATTATTTTAAAAATTCATTTTCAACTATATATTTTTAATATTACACGTAATTTCAAAACTTTTCTTTAATTTTTAATCACACATTATCTACATAATTTTTCTCAAAATGGAAATCAAACAAGGGCTTAGCTTGCCATAGGGTTTAGTAGGACAGTGGTGAGTTCTTGAGGATTGGAGTTATGGGTGGACAAATTACCTTGCTAATCAACTCAAATTGCCAAATAGAATCGACTCGAATGTTGGTATATTTTTCAAGTTGGTTTGGACAATCCCGAATTATTAAAAAAAATTCATTTTCGAGGAAAAAATGCCCTTAAACTTGAAATATTGAACCTATACAAATCAACTGGGCCAGTTTATTCATCTTGTCGATTCGATTTTGAATTTCGCCAAAAGAAATTCATCTTGTCGATTCGATTTTGAATTTCGCCAAATCTTTTGTCTAAGGCTACACAAAAAAATTGCGAAATTGCAAATCAAACAAAATACATTGGTTTGGGTCCACGTGAACTCACAATCTTCCCCCCAAACATAACCAGACCATTTCTGTATTTTTAATCTTTTAATTAAAAATTAATTTTATTAAATTATAAATTTTACATTTTCAGTTTTCAGAAAAAAAAAAAAAAAAAAAACCAATTTAGCAACACAAATTGCAACTAGTCCATTGAAATTATCATATAAAGTAAATTAGGTTCATTATTACCGTCGCTAACAAGTAGACTATACGTCCCGACCAGATATCTAAACTAAATTAAAATTATCCCCAAATCATATGAAATGAGCAAAAAAAAAGTTTCAAAAGCCCTGACCCATAGTAGCAAAACCACAGCAGCGAATCACGTATTTTTGGAACTCAATGAAAGATTTGTTAATGTTGTAAGAATAATTCTACTCCTACAAAGTTGGTGTACAAAAGTGGAGTGCCAAAGTGTGTTGGCAAAATTTAAACTCTTGATTTCAAATGATTTAAAAATCTGTTTTTGAAATAATTTGTATAGATTCAATTTTGTAACCTAACTTTGTAAACACCGTTTGTCATTGTAGCATAGCTCATGTTGTAAACCGGCTTAGTGGCCCAAATAATAGGCCCCCATTTACCTTTTTATTTTTTTCTCTTATACAAAAAAGGTTAAACCCCAACCTTGAGAGCCCCCGTCGCCCCTCCCCTAGAGCTTTGTGAGGAAGGTAAATCAGGGAATGTGCCCCATCAGGTTAGGGAACAAGAGCTGTTTGTATACTACGCCTACAAGGAGTCCAATTCCATGTCTCAGGAATCGAACCCCCACACTGCGGCTGCCAACAAGGCGTGAGATAACCTCCCTCTTGTCCTTTGCACTACTAGGCTATGCCCTAAGGGGCCAAAATGATGTAAGATTTTTTTTTTTCTCTTATACTGTTGTCCATAAGCATGTATACGTTCATTGCGTATCACTGTATGCATATATGTTTATTTAACTAGCATATGTGCGGATTTGAAGCTGATTTTTGTTCATTTTTACATGAAAACAAAGACATAACATTAAAATTTCTAAGAAATTCTACCGTTGGAGTTAGGGATGTCAATCAAACTCGTCGATTTGGGCCGTCCGTGGCTTGACCCGGGAAAAGCCCGAGCCGCTCAGCTACCGAGCCCCACTTTGGGGACATGGACTTTGCCCAAGCCAGCCCATGAGCCTGCGAGCCTTTATAATAAAAAAAAAATTAAATTGTAAGTGGAAGCAAACTGCCTCAAAAGGCAGCAGTTTGTTGCCTTTTTAAGGCAGCTAGCTGTTGCCTTTAAAGGCAACAGTTTATAAAAAAAAAAAAAAAAAAATAATAATAATAATAAAAGAAAGAGAGAGAGAGAGAGAGAGAAGGGCCTGCCCAGTTCGGCTCGGAAAGGCTCGAGCCAAAAGCTTGAGTTGAGCCTAAAACTTTTGGGCGAGCTTTTACTTGGCTCGACTCGGGCTCGAAAAAAAAGTTCGACC